TGATTGTACTCTCAATATACTACATAATGTACAGTCTTCATTTTCAGTTACTGTTACATTATGCCAATCTAACTAAATCGTTACAACGCTAAATATTGCACTATGTAAAAATATGACTGTTTATGCAAAAAAATAATCTTTGCACCATATTAATTTTACCATAATTTAATCATAATTAACTGCATATTTTATTGTACATTAAGTACACATTCCATCACATTTAAAATACTATATTCTGCTTGCAACATAAGACAAACTTTTAACATATTCGATTAATCTTTGCATTTGATTCAAAATTATTATTATTACACTTTTGTTTAAATTGTTGAAATCATTTAATTTTTTGATATATACTTTTTTATGTACACAAAAAAAAAATATTTATTTGAAACATTATGTTCAAGCAGTCACACAGTGCACAAAAATATTCTACTAATAGGTTAAAATGAAATCATTTATATACCATTAATGTTAAGACTTCTCTATGAACTCTTTACAAACGTTTTGTACAGGTTGTAATATATTTGGCACAGACAAGTTATCTCCTGTAGTATTTTCGCGAATACTTATCGCATTTGTTACAGTAGTAGATGATCTAAAATAAGAGAATAATATAAAATTTATAACACGATTTTATTTTAGAAGTTTTTTATAATTTTTATCTTTTTCGTAAACATACCTGTTGTGCCTAAGATGACTTTTCACCAAATGACCAGCCGTAAGTGCAGCCATTAATGATAATTCACCGGCAAGTACCGTAGCGCATATTACTCTAGCTAATCTGCTGGCATTTTCACCAGGTTCTTCAGCATGTGCACCTTGAACACCTAACATAGCTAAACATGCACCTTGTGCGGGAAGACCAGTTCCACCCCCAACAGTACCAATTTCTATACTAGGCATTGTACAAGACACATATAGATCTGAACCATCTGTTCCCCATGGTTCCATTAAAGTCATACAATTACTACTTCCAACATTCTGTGCAGGATCTTGACCCGTAGCAATAAAAATTGCTGTTACAATATTTGCGGCGTGTGCATTAAAACCACCTACGCTGCCAGCTACAGCAGATCCAATCATATTTTTACTTATATTCACATCAACTAAAGCGTGAACTGATGTTTTCAACACGTTAGTAACAACATCTTCAGGGACCACTGCTTCACAAACAACACTTTTACCTCTACCAAGAATCCAATTTACCGCTGCTGGTTTTTTATCCGTACAAAAATTACCGCTCAAGGATAATATATCCATATCAGGGAACTGTTCCTTCACTGTATTCAATGACTTTTCGGTACCTTTGGACAACATATTCATACCCATAGCATCACCAGTTGTAGCCACAAAACGGATAAATAAATGCCTGCCAGCAATGCGTACGTGAATCTTCGTCAATCTTGCAAATCTGCTAGTTAAATCAAAACTCTCCTTCATTTTTTTGAAATTTTCAGAATCTTGCATCCATGCCATAGCTTCAGTTGCTCTAACGATATTTGGAAATCTCACAACTGGTCCTCTAGTCATTCCATCAGCAACTACGCGGCTTGTTACACCACATTTTAATAATGCTCTACTACCACGATTTGTAGATGCGACTAAACATCCCTCTGTCGTTGCCATTGGTACATGATATAATTCACCATCAATTAATAATGGGCCAGCAATTCCAAGGGGTACTGGCACATATCCTATAACATTTTCACAGCACGATCCTAATACTTTACTATAATCGTAATTTTTATATGGCAAATCAGAAAGATTATCAAGAAATTTTCCAGCTTCTCCAATTATAAGACGTCTAATTCCAACACCCCGTTCCATATCACCAACTGCTTTCTCTAACTGATAAGCAGCTATATGCTTAGTTTTTACTAATTGAATTACTTCCTCATCCGTCAGTCCGTTTGCTCCAAGCTATGAATATATTTAACAATATATTTAAAAATTAAACATAAATTGAACTACATACTCATAACAATTTTACTTACTTCAGATTTGTACACTTCGAGACATTCTTTTAAAGATCTAGGAACTTTCAATCGTGGAGGCTGACTTTTATTGTCCTGCTTATCTGCGTTACATTGTTTTTCGTCTGTTTGTGCTTCTTTGTCACCGATCCAATCACGTACCTTAGATGAAAGAGAGATAGTTTGCATTCCAATAAAGTTTCCAAACGATATCTTGGCGGTAAGCATATTCATATCTTCGCTTTCATTTTCTTTTTCTTTCACATATTCATTCTCAATTTTCTCTTCCGTATCGTCCTCAACTTTAGATCGTAATTGTTTAGCGATATCCCCTTTGTCCTCGAAGAAGATAAATTTAATTGCGAGTGCAAGAAGAAGAATCAATATCACAATATTATCTGCACTAACTGACAACCAATTCATTAAATACTCTTTGATCTCAGATGGGTTTTCTGTCTTGTTGTAAGAATTCACTATGATATGTGAATTCGCGGAAGATACATCACCTTCTACCGTAGGTTCGCTTTCGTCACTCTTGAAAGGCCACCGACTAAAATAAATAAATATTTTATGTCAGCGTCTATATTGATGTTCAAGTTTACGATTCATCTAATTTTATTATATCTTTTCATATAATAATTTAAATAGATTAATCTGATGCTATTTTCATGTAACTTGAATTTGATATAAAGATATTAATAATTATCGTTATTTATAACTCGACATAAAAGTGTCATACACCATTTCCTAACTTAACATACGAAGGGATAAAGGAACCCAAACCTCGTCGAGATTCTATCTCTTTCTGCACAATTCATTGAATATGAATTAAATGTATATTTATGCTACTGTGTAATAAGTTGAACCTGACCTGTGGAAGTTAGGAATAAGGAAACTGCCAAACAAGAAATACACTTGAGTAAGAAAAAAAAAAATACACATCGCCATGGGGCAGATTTGTGATAACTTTTTGTCAGTTTTCTTCCTATTGTAACGTGTTATCTGATGTATAAAATGTAAAGTTCATTTCAAACGAAAACGGAGCTCGTACATATTGTGAAGAATGGAAAATAAAACAAAAATGTAATACCTGTTAGCGTGTACCACAAATAGGCCAGCGATCATAATCAATTTAACGCGTTCTACTACCGGATTTGGCTTTTGATCCTCTTCATTTAATGGATGCATTATGAAAATCTTGTCAGCACTTAATGGTTTCATGGCATTAGTTTCACGAGAAAGCTAAAAAAAAAAATAACAATACAAATGGATCTATATGCGTAACAAACAAAATCTATAGATTGACACAGAAGTCTAAGAATTACCTCAAGAATAAGCGACAAACACGCAGGATAAAATGTCATGAAAACGATATAATTCACGATAACACCTAAACAAGCAAAGCTGCATAAGATCTCTAGTCTTTTAACGCCAGATAAAGATCCTATGCTAATAAGTAGAGTTTCCACTAAAGTATCTAATGTGATAGTTGGTCCTAAGAGCGACATGCCGCGAGCAATATTTGCCCGCACTTCCTCTTGGTTTCTGGAGCTTAAAGCCAACTGTGCTAATATAGCGGCTTTCGAAAGGTCGATAATAAGCAAGAAGAAGAATAATGCATCTCTGGAAAAACAATAACTTTAATAAAGTAATTGAATAAGGAACTTCTGGATTTCGCAATTCGTTCGTATGTAAGAACTTACTTTAAATCGGAAATGTCACTGCGCCCGAAATTCACTACGCTGGACGTGAAAACAACACTGGAAAATACAGTAAATAGACCGGCAATACCTAGCAAAACATTCAAATATTTTAATACCGTTGTTCTGTATTATTACTACTCATTAGTTAGGTAGTTTATTTATTATCATTTATTACTTAAAGCTAAATTGCGCACTAGATGTTATGTAAATTCGATAATTAATTGTCATCGCGTGTCGTACAGAATGAAACGTTATCGCTTTCCATGAAACTTTCTCTGACACTAAAAGCTTTCACGCGTACCGTGAAAAGATCCGGTTATATGAATAATCGCTTACAATACATTGCTCTTTAAATCGTACGTATTATTCTCTAAACAGGCATTTCAATTTCGATTGAACTTACATATTCGCTTACCTAATATATACTTTGAACCCAATTTCTGCAGATTACGAAACTGATGATAAGTAAACAGTATGGCTAGACATCGTATTATGGTCATGACTATAATGTCAGCTGCATTTAGGTCCTGATAAATAATCAATTATGTTACACACATTGTAAGCTATCTCGAGATTTTATAAACTAGATGAAAGACACACTGTTCGTCTCAGAAATCAGGAAAATTAAATCAGATATTATTGAAGATCTGCTTACGTCCGAATTACATCTACCGGGTCGACAATGCAAAGCTAAAGGAAGGGTTCCATCTCGAGGATGTCCGCTTCCGGTCTCCATGTTCAGAATGCATGCTGTAAGTGTGAAGGTCGTCACAATTACTTCCAGGGGATGGCCAGCACAAAATCGGCCGTGAATTTCGAACAGATGTGCCAGCATGTTTTTCGTTAGCTGTTTACAACCTGAAACACGAAGTATTAAAATGTGTTTTATTTTAAACGTTCAAAGTTCGTTCGACGAATTCTCTATGTAAAATCGACTTTGAAATGTTCTTGATTGAAAAAAAAAAAAAGAAAAAAAAAACAAATTATATATGAAATTATATAAAAATTACATAATGTCTTCCTTTCTGTAAAATCGAACTACGACCGACGCATAAAAAAAAAAAAAAAGACTATTGCACGTGTAGCAAATTT